AATCAGTCGACATACTATAAAATTACTTTCAGCTAAATTTAAATGGGTGTGGTTAGATTACAGGTGTGTATTCACTTTCACTACCACCACCTTTGGTCATTAAACAGTTAAAAAAAAATTTCAAAAGCCATTATTAAATGTTGGTTGTTTAGCTTCTGCATTTTATTTATCCTGGGCAATGGAAATAACCTGGCCCACTTCTCTTTTTACATAATCTTTTCATATGTTTGTTGCCAGTTGTCTGCCAGGTTCACATGCCCCAGCGCAGTGGAGCACTATTAGAGTGACAAACACGGAAGGGAAATTATTACAATAAAAGAAAGACACTCTCAAGGGCATAGACCACCTTGTTTGTTCTGTGTTTGTACTTCCCTTAATACAAACAAAACCAGTCAGAGCCTTGGTATTAATGGTAGATTTTGTAGCACATTATATTTAGGAAAGAAAAGAAACCTAACATGCCTGGTGGGTACCCTTTAAAAAGCTATTTTATAGCCCTAGATAAGGATGTATGCTGAAGAGAAGCTCTATGTACCTTTATTCTCCAAGACAAGCTCAAAGTATTATGTCAGTGAAATGTCATTGCCTCATTAATTATGAAATGTCATAAACTTTAACGACAAAAGATCATTATTGTGATCATAATTATGTAACTCTGATGCAATATTATGACCAAAGACATTCCAGTGGTCTGAAATACATTTCTGGATACCATTGTGATGCCTCAGTAAGGATATGCTAGTTTGAAGCATTTTTGCCAAAATTGCAGCGGCAGCCTGGATTTTTTCAAATTCAAAGACACTTTGAAGTCGTATTAGAAAGAGTCATGCGCCATTTTTTTTCAAGATAATGCTTCTGTCTTTAAAATAAGACTACAAGTATTTTAGTTTATTATCTCATCTTCTTTTCTTTAGATGTTACTATACTTTTTAGAATGTGACACTTTTCATTTTACTTTTTTCTAGACCAGAGTCTGACCAGGAACAACTCCATTGACTTCAGCAAGGCTTTATTCAATTAAATTGTGTAAATGATGGAACGCGGAAAATAACCCAAGAAACCTGATTTTCAAAATAATCACACTGGTGTTTTCTGGGAAAGAAAGAAACTACAGCTATGCTGCAAGTACTGCCCCAGCAAACCCACCATAGCAAACCAGGCTGACTTCAGCTGTGGAGGGTGAAACAGGGAAAGGAATGCTTCAGTTTCTCTGTTTTGTTTTCTTTTTGCCAAGTGAAGAAAGTTGCTATTGTTGTTAGTTTGTTTTGAAACTGATAGAAAATGCTGAGTGAAATGACTAAAGATTGAATTGCTGGAAATATCTGCAAGATGAGTTCTGGAAGGCAGCAGCCTTCATGCATATTCTCATCCGTAGACCATGTCACCCTTAGGGAGGGAGCACGGGACTGCTGCAATGGAAAAACTTAGCAGTTGTGTCCTCCCAGTTTCTCCCCCTTCCTAGAGAAATCAAAGGAACATCCTCGTGGAGATGCTTTAGAAAGTGCCTGTCGACTGTCCTTGCTTTTCTACCTTCATTATGTACAAGCCGGCTCTGCAATTATACCTCTCCTGACCAATGAATGTTTCTCCCAGGCAATTGCTCGTTCAGGATATCCAAAACACCAGAGGGCAGCAAAAGTGTTAAAGCATAAATTTCAAGAGCATCAACCCTCCCAACAGAAGCACCTCTGTGATGATAAAATGTGATTGTGTAATAGGTTCGTAATGCCTTGACAGATTCAATTCATAGTGAAAGTGGTAGAAAAACGATGTAATTATGACACTACCAAACTTGTGCAATGGCTACTTCTGAGCAGCACTGCTGAAAGCTGTTGTGACCCACATGAATGAAGATGGAAGAGAAATACCAAGAGATTGCCGATAATAATAAATGCAGGAGGTCTTCAGTTTAACTCTCAATGAATCACACAATAACATTATAACTCTTAAAAATTGTGTGCTCCCTCCTTTGCTGCAGAAGCTGTATGTACCCCACCCTCTGGACTAGGGATTGCAGGTCTGTGTAGGTACCTTCCACAGATAGCAACACTTGCCAGTTCTTCCTGCCTCTTCCACCTAATTCAGGTAATTAAAATCAGGATGGTGGATTCTCCTCAGTATAGCTCTCTGGTGAGGTCTTACGTTCTCTACAAAGTCCCATGGCACAGGTGTCCACCCTCTCCTTAGGACAGAAAAATCGTGGGGTGTTAGGGAGAGCACCAAATCCAGTCCTCTTCTTCCCATTTGGGAAGCAAGAAATGCTGAGTCCTTTAAAAAGAAATAAAAATACTATGTTCCCAGCTGGGGCTGGCTGTCTTGAGTGTTCTTTCTCAAAAGACCAGTTCTGTTTGCCATCCTAAAACACCTAATCAATTTCAAATGAAAACAGCAACTATAATTAAAGGGAGGAAAATCCCACCACAGCAGAGGAACCATTATTAAGGTAATTTTTTTCTTTATAACTCCTGGGGCACTGTTCACATGCAGTTGCTACTGTATGTGCTGTTTGTGCGTCACCTCCTCTTCATGAGCTCCACGGAGCATATACTGTTAGCTTAATAATAACAATAATAATGTCAGCTTTTCATGTGAGTTATTCAAGGCACCGTGTAAGCACTAATTGAATGTTACAATAGCCTGGGCTGGCTGCGTGCTCTTACCCCCCTTACAGCGACTGGCATAGCAGTCCCATGACCTGGGTCACACCACTGCCTCCATGCAGGCGGCTCCTGTCCTTGGGCTCTGCAAGCCCCTGCCCCTTCCCAGTGCCAGGCAAGCCCTGCTAGTTGCCAGCCTGCCTGCTCGCAGTAAATAAGCATAGGGACGACAAGTATTTTGAGCAATGGTCAAGATAAACAAAGTTTGGGTGTTAATTTCTCTAAGTTTCTAGCAGAAATGGCCTGCAACGCAACTGGCCTCCCGAAGGGCTAGCACCCACGTTGCGGCAAGTAACACTCAGACGAGAAGCAGAAGTCTTGCTTGCTTCACTAGAACGTTTCGATGGATGTCTCTCAAGTGTGTTGATGACACACAGCTCATGTATCACATAATTTGATTTATATAGAGCACCACATTTTTCTTAACCCATCTTCAGAGTAAATTTACAAAAAATGACAAAAAGCTTGCTCTCCTCCCATAGTGTGTCCCTCCTGAGCCCTTTAGAGGTCATTCACAGACCCCAAGGAGACCACCAACTACAGTTGAAAGCAATTGGACCAATTACTTTGAAATCTTCAGGATGAAGCACAGGATATACACCTCTTCCACCCAAGGCATCCTCTTCTTTCAGGCATTCATGGTGCCTCTGGATGGAAGAGGCAGGTCACTGCCCAGTGTGCTATTGGCCATGATGGTCATGCTAGGGGTTCAGGCTAGGGCGGACAGTCTTCCAGTCAGGAGCCCGACCACTGACTGGAGAATTACTTGTCCGAAAAGAGCCAAGGCTGACTCTGATGGAGAAGATAAAGTTGAATAACAGATGTGGCAGGCACCATTTGAGATTTATTTTTGAGGCTAAACTCTAACGTGAGACCAAATGTACAAACATTTTGGTCCCTTGCTGTGTGAGGGCTGAAGAACTACATGTCTGAACCCAGTGCATCTGCCATTTCACATTTGACCTTGAGAGGAACCTCTTGGACACTTTCCAGGATGCTGAGCTTCAATCCCAACCAGCCTCCTCCAGCCTCAGTGTGCAAAGGCGTAACTTCCCAAGCCTCCCTTCCAGACTGGCCAGAGATAATAGCACTGCAGGAGTATCCAGAACAGTATGAGTAAGTTACCGGAGTATTCCAGGACTGCATGTATATACACATGGGCTCTTTACTATCACTTCCCTTCCTGCCTGTGCCCGGCTGGTGGACCCGGAGGGTTGTCGGCTCCAGGCTGAGGTGCCGTTGGAGGGGCAGCTCCCCTCCATCACGGCCTGGAAGCATCGGGACAGAAGCCGGTCCTGCGCGGGGGAAGGCGGACGCAAAGGGTGGGTGGGCGGCCACAGTCCTTAGGGAATTAGGGAAAATTGCTCCCCGCAGGGCTGCAGCCGGCGGGACGGTCCCCGCCGGTGGTCCCAAGGCTCCGGCGCAGGGCGAGGAGAGCTGGGATGGGGCTAACGGTGGCCTGGCACCCCAGCCGGCAGGGCTGGCCGGGCGCTTGCGTGCCGCGTCCCCCCCTCATCGCGGGGTTAGCGCGGCGTTCGCAGCCT